AAAACCCGACTTTTGTTGGTTTGGTTTGGTTTATAGATTTAAAAATCCAAGATAATTTATTTGGTTTGGTAATTGAAAAACTCGAACCAACCCGTCCCATGTACACTCCTAGTTACAACTGTCCACTATAGGTGTTTAAGTATGCAACAACACTATATTCTTTATCAACATACTTCGTTGCCACAAAACCTGTATGTTGAAAGCACTTCATGGCATGTGAGCATGGCAAGTGATAGATTGACCATTTTTCGTAGGAGCATAATCTTCTGGCTTCATTGACGATGCGTGTATTATTCTCGCGGTTATGATGCAGACCAGTCCGAACTTCAAAAATATTTCGCTCACTGCAATACTGCAAAAATGAATGCCAGTGTGATCGCTTCCTATATTTCTCAAATCGTTTCATTGGTTGTGGCATAAATTCAATACCTCTTTCCATCAATGACGATGCACCTCTAGATCTTTCAACAAACCTCTCTGCCATCTGCTTGAATAACATCCGCACCATGGCAGTGACATGCAATCCACTTGCAGACTTCAATAACCCATTGAAAGACTCTGACAAATTTGTAGTCAGAGTTCCCCATCTTCTACCACCATCCGCATACAAAGTCCACATGTCAAACTCATGTCGCATCAACCAACGATAGGCTTCTGGGTCTTCCTGCCTAATCAATTCCATTCGCCTCCTGAATTTATACTCTTGGCGATCTGTTGCAGTCATCCACATTAAATCATGCAAGTCCTTATTCGGATAAGCCCTCTAGAAGTTAGCTTTATAGTGCCTAACACAGTAACAGTGGTAGGCATACGGTTCATGCCATGCATGCAAATTCTGTATAGAATTTAAAATACCGCCATGTCGATCACATATTAGACAAATACCTAAACGTTGTCTGACAACGTGCTCCTTCAAGTGGTTCATAAATAATGTCCACGTCTCTTGGATTTCATTAGCACAAATAGCAAATTCTAGGGGAAATATACCTCCATTAGCATCTACTGCAACGTCGATCAACAACTTAATATCATACTTTCCGTCAGAGGCGGACCCAGGATTAGAGCAAGACGGGTGCACCACAGTATGCTAATTACTAGCGATAAAATTTGATGTGCAACTCTTTGAAAACTTAATATTATGATGACTTACCATTCAAATATAAACAAAAAGAAGTTCTAAAGAAAAAGAAAGCACCGAACAAAGAGAGATTTTTTCGTAAAATGGATGCTATAGGAAGGGAAGGTGTTTGATTAAGTATGATTAGTATTTTAATAAATGAAAAAGAGGCCAATGATCAAAAGGACGTCCAAACTTTAAATTATCAAAATTTAGTAAAGAAATCAAGATTATGGGTATGTTAATAGTCAAATAACTGAACAAGGGTTTCAAACTCTCAGTTGTCATTGCCGAGTCAGAGTCAAAGTGATTGTTGAAGAAGGCAGTTGTAGAAAAATTCTAATTTTTCTATTTGTGGAGCGATATGTTGCAATTTGAGGCTTTTAATTTTAAGGTAGAGATTTGAAAAAGAATAAAACTAATTAAGTTGACTATTATGTATATTAGTACTAAGCTATAGTTGAATTCAAAAAGAAGATAAAAGTTAAAAATAAAGCAATTTGCAGAGTATTAACTATTAAGTATAAAAACTGTTATATTCCAAGAACTAAAACAAAAAGGAGAAAAGGCTGAAGTAGGGTTTCGAACCCTCGTCATCCAGCCATTGAGCGAATTTAATTGCCCAACACAACCACTCCTCCATCAGCTTTTCTCTGTTTGGGGGCACAACTCAAATATTTATTGGGTCCCATATATATGGATAGATATATATAACATATATATACAGTATTTTTGCCGAGACTAACAATGTCCCGTGACCCCTCAACCCACAACGTAGGTCCGCCCCTGCTTTCCGTAGACATGAGTGTCGTCTATGGATATTACCGGCCGACAATGCACAAAACCATCAATGGCTGGTTTGAATGCCTAGAACATATATCTGAAAATGTATTCTAGTATTCCCGGACTCCGCTCAAGCTTTCATTTTACAATAGTCCCACGGTTAAAGTATTGCAATGCAACCATGTACCTGGGTAGAGCAGCAAATGACTTATTCCAGTTACCATAAATAATTTCAAACGCACGTTTATGCCCAAAAAATACCTTTCTTTTGGTAATGGTACATCCATATACCTGGTGGACAGATGTTATACACTCTTTGATCTTGTACTTTATGGACGCTTCAATGTGTGAAATCAAGACAAGAGAAATCAAGTCAACATTCAAGTTAAAATGATTCCTACTGAATGTGTCCATTTCACAATTGTGGATGCCAATGTATTTTCCCATAATACACATATTTGTTTTCAACTTTCTCGCACGCAACATCCAATTATAACCTTGAAACCATCTACGCCAAATAACTTTGTATACTTCCGGAGATGACTCAAGAACCACGATCTCACGACACTCTTTTATGATGTACATTCGCACCGCCCTACTTAGGCGCGCTTTACCAGCAAAAAGCATGCCCTTTGACAACATAATTGCTCTAGATTCATGCCACATTGTTGTCCGAATTTCGTCAAGATCCCTTGTGAGGGCATCGACATCCGGCATACTTGGCAACTGATAATGGTAGGGAATCTTCCTTAAATGAAACGGCACATGGGACTCGTACACTCTCGGTCTAACGGGAGGTGGCGCATGCTCCCTCATCAAATCAGGTTCATCATTCTCGTCCTCATCATCATCACCCTCATCAGGAAAGGGGGTGTCATCTCCAGACTCATCAGCATTTTTGTCATAATCACTATCATCTTCCTAACTCTGCGCATCTGCCAGATCCCAATTAAATATGACATCTTCGGACAATTGAGTAAGGACATGACCTTCAAGTTGCTCGTTTTCACTGCACATCCAATAAAATAATGAATTTCTCAAATTTATCCAAACATTACATATAAACTTTATTACTTCACTTACAAAATAATGTGTTGATATCCCATGATGCACATTATCCTGTTGATGATGACTCCCATATGGACCACCATGATCCAACACATCAAAACTACGCATATTCCAACTGTCTGTTGGTTCACAACTTGTAAAATCCATATCTGGCTGGTACCCTCTATAGAATATATGAGTGTTAATATAAATTTAATACATAAAAATAAATATCGTAACACAAAGAAAAATTAAAGTGTACCACTCGGCTTGTGGATTATGTAAACTTGGGGAGAAAGTATGTCATCGCTCCGCATTCGCCCGTGGAGATAAGTTTAGATCTGGCCAAACTCTTTCACGTGGAACCTATTCGGATAATTACGAACGTCATTATTGCGAACGGCAAAATCACACAATGATTGAGGGATATCCCTATTTTGCGAAGCCTCATTATTGCGAACGTCTTCAGCCTTGACGTACATTTTCAACATTTTTATCACAAGAAGTTTCCGGTATTCATTTGGAGTTCTCAAAAAATCTGTCAGAGTTTCATCATATTCGATGTTAAACTCAGCATAACAAGCAACCCCTTGCGGAGTAACAGAATATAGATATCTTCCTGTTACTTTAATATTGACCGAACGTTTGCTCACACTTATTTTTTTACATAACGATACCAATCTATCGTACTCCATTGTAAGTGGTAACTTAACATGACACTGTGGAGAACAATTATAGCGTACTGAGTTATTCTCCGCCACAACTTCATCCCCTCCCCCCCCCCCCC